ATGACTATGAACTGTATTGACACGCTTTTCTTTCTCTTACAATAGATGGTGATAACAAATATATGAGAGCAATGCGTTTAATGAGTGGATTCTTTGCATCTCTTCCAAATATGAAATTACATCAGCGACCAGAAGCATTTGAAATATATTTACCATCAAAATGGCCGTGGTTTTATCTTCGACGACAACAATTATTATTATTTCTACAGGATCCTACACATTTAGCTACAAAGTGGAGAAATCGTTCATTATTATGTCGGACATCGGAAAATGAATGTTGAGCTTCCGCCAAAATTCCAATATAATAGTATTCACAAACCATTTTGCTGTTGATGAGAAAAGGGCTAATAACAGTTTTGTCAGTTGAAATTTTGCCACATACATTCTCCTGATTAAAGGAAAAGCTCGTAGGGCTTTGTAGCATGCACTTTTGACATTTATATTCGCTTCTAAGCACATGTAAGTGAATTGTTAAGTATTATTGTTGCGCTTGAGCAGTAAGGCTTGTTTCGAATTATGTTTACGACACCAGTCCAACGGTAAATAAAAATAAACAGCTCAGGTTAAATAGTCTTATATGAATGCATGTCAAAGTTGAATCTTACATAATTTTGATAGGCATCCAATTAGTTCATTTCCAAAAATGAATCTGACTATCCACTTAATAAGTAAGATTTGAACACGCATTATCTCTGACGATCATGATCCGAAGAGAAAGCTGGAAAGTTATGATTATTGAAAAACGTTTATCTAGCTGCTAAATATAAAAGCGAAACTGTTACTTTTTAAACGTCAGTCAGCGATATTGACAGTCACATATCTCAAAAACTAGATACGCACTTTTAAAAATAGCTCAATGTCTTGTGCAACAGGTATACTTTAAGCTTGTACGACTTGTACACATGAGTACTTTCTAATTAAGTTAATTCTGATCCGTTAAGTGGGCAGAATATAGAGTAAAATCCACATTATCACCATCTTTTTTGTCTATATGCCCAGTTGTTTTACGAGTGGTTTTATCAACAGAAATAATCAATATAAAAAAGTTTTGTGGAGCTCAAAACTGACTTCGCCCTGTTCATTGCCAAAGAATTTAGCTGGATAGAATATAGAGTGACCAACTGGGATACAAAACTGACGGAAGAATGGAATACAACACTGTGTGCGGTCATTCTATATTCTATCCAGCTAAATTCTTTGGCAATGAACCGGATAAAGTCGGTTTTGAGCTGCCCAAGCTTTTTTATATTGATTATTTCTGTTGATGAACCACTCGTAAAATAACTGAGCATAAATGCCTTAACTTCATTACATTACTTTGATATTTGTTCGGTACAGTATCAGCAATAGCAATCCCCTGCTTTGACCTGCAGTCGTACTTGTTCCCGTATTACCTGATGAATCATACTGAGCGAGCCTTAGATCGGTGTTTGATTCAAAGAATGTTCATTCAATTCAACATGTATATAGTCCGTGTTAGTATAGTGGTTAGTCACGCGGGAAATCGGGGTTCGATTCCCCAACAAGGATTGAACTTTTTAGTGTTTTCTTAAGGTGCATGTCAGAATATATTCGGTCGGTCGGTCGCTATTCCGCTATTCCTCTATTCCTGTATCCTCTATTCTCGACTATTCCTGGACTATTTCTGTACTCTGCACACAACATTTCGTTTATCATAACTCTTTATATACACGTATATAAAAACTTCGTTTTCTTTTCTAATTTAATCTGATTAGATTAATTTGATTATTCTTCAAAGACACTTGACCGCTATGTTTCACAAGATTATTCTTTTATCTATCTATCGACTCAGTGTCAGAGAAGACTCCTTATAGACTCATGACTCGTTTACCGTTCTCAGTGGGACTACTTATAACTTTTGATATACAACATGAATTTCTTTCAAGATTTAGCTTCATATACTACTATTGTAGTAGTCCAAAGTTACGATGAGAAATTAAAAAAAAGTTGCTCTGTCTTTTTTATTTAGACCAATTAAGACACATTGTTCCTTGGAATTTTAATCCAATTTGTAGTTTCTCATAAAGCGGCAAATATTATGCGCAGAAAAAGTGGATTCACCGGTAATCCACTATAGTGCATCCAATGGGTGTATTCTAGAGATCTTAAGAGGACCTCTAGAGAGGCTTTATGGATCTCCGAAGGATCTCTAGGAGATCTCCAGAAAATCTTTCAGGATTTATTGAAATATGAAGCTCTAACAAAATATTCAATTTCCTATCAATGCTCTCTTTCGAGCATCAAATCTTAATGTTTCCGAAAAGGCTCTTTTACAGATTTAGGGGGTTTGGACCTATGAATTTGCCACTGAATCCGTCATAGCTGATTTTCTATGAAACCCGGTGCACATGCATGGTTCCTGAATAACTTTTGATAGAAAAGAGCTAGAAAGCTTCGGTTTTCACCATTCGAAGAGGAGGCTTGGACGTATGTTTCATACTCAATATTGTTTTCAGTAGAGTTTCCTGAAATAGGTTTCCTAGGCGATCTCCGGAAAACTAGGCTGTCTGTAAAAGTTTTACAATAGGATTGTATTGCTGTTTTTCATGGACTGATGAGAAAAAGCTGAACGTGATTACAGGATCGAAAAAATCGAAAAAGCATATTTTTGTTATATTTTAGTTATTAGTCCATGAAGAAAAGCAACATAATCCTATTGAGAAATTCTTACATACGGCCTAGTTTATAAAAGATTTCCTAGGAACATGTTTCAAAAAACTCTTCTGAAAACAATATTGACTATGATACATACCTCCAAGTCTCCTCTTTCGAATGGCGAAAAAAGAAGCTCTCTAGCTCTTTTCTATCGAAAGCTATTCAGAAAATATGCAAGTGCATTGTATTTTGGCGTCGATAATAGTAAATTCGATTTAATGAATGTGACCAATAAATTTTATTTTGTTATTTTCTCTACCAATAGAAAAGAGTATTGCTCTCCGCAATCGTAACTTTGTAGAGCCACAGTCATATATTATAAAAAATATTTTGCTTTAATAACTTAATATGCCAAAGACTTTTTATAAGACTTTTAACTTTTTAAAAAGAAATTTAAAAAAATTTAAAAAAATAACTTTTTTAAAACTCTATGTTACTATATAGGTAAGCACCCTATTATAGTTATTTGTACCAAATTACCGAAAAATTCGTTTTTATTTTGTGTAAAATATTTATACTATTTAAAAGTGGTCGAATTTTGTATTAGTCCTACTGAGAAGTGTAAACAAGTCATGTGAGGCAGTTAGCATTTTTCTCAAGTAGAGAGAAATACAGAGCACACTCGGCTCTATCCGACAGTAAAAAAATAATTTTCTCATCTCTTTTATTCCAAGAGATATTGAGACTACAAAAAACTCTGTGGTGTTCGAATACTTATTTTAACCACTGTAAATAAAAACGTCATTCACAGGAAATGGACAAAAGAGTAGTACAGAATAAAGTGGCGAATATATATTACACTGTTTTTATCTGCTTTTAGCATTCATTGTTTCATTTCATGGATTCCTACGGGAAAATCTTTTTAATTAACAGAAATTTGCATATCACTTTAAGTGATATGCAAAGGAGTAGTCCGCATAAGACTTGAAATTGGTCCACTAAATTATTGTTATTTTATTGCTTAAAAGTATCCAGAATTCATCGAACTTATCTTATTTAATGCTTTCGACTGTATTCGTAACCATGATTAATAAATTCTCTGCAATATTTTTATATATTGATAAATAAGCATCATATTGATTATTCGATTAGTCGGAAGATCTTTCTAATTGTTTTAAACTGTGTCCTAACTCAGACCTCAATTGTTCATTCTTAATCGACTCATGGGTAGTTAATAACTGATAAAAATCTTGTTCAAAATGATTAAACGCTGTCAGAGCCGTACGGCGAAACATTAACAAACTCGACGTATAATCTTCTGTTGTATCAAGAATACATTGGCGTAAGTATTCACTAATTTCCGCAATATTTTTTTCGTCTTTATCTTGCAGAAAACTTTCACATTTTGTTAAAATATTAGATAATTTACCATTTTGAAAAATCTTAACAATTTTTTTAATATCATTAACACTTTTATTCTATGTAAGATGATCAAAAATTTCTTTTTGAATTCTACCATTCGTAAAAAAAACTTCTTGTTCAAATAAATGATCATATCTATGATGTAAACGTTGTCGAAATAGTTGGCTAAATTCAGGTAAAACTTTTTCAACGTTAGCAAATCGTCTTAACATCTTAGTTAACTCATCAATTTTCATTGGTAAATATGCAACATGACTATGATTAGTATTTTCCAGTTGTGTACGCACCGAATTAATGACATCTGTGGGTATTGTACTCTTTTTCTCATGAAAAAACTTGATTTTTTTCTACACATAGTAATTGCTGAATTATAACTGATATTTCTTGCATTTACTAAATTTGAATAAGACATTGCTCGATTTGCCAATTGCTCACTAGCTGTTTTCATTTTAATAATATTTCGAACAGAACTGACGAGGAAAGAACACCAACTGTCTAATCGCTTTTAGGCTAAGACTCACTGGACAATAGGTAATCGCGTGTGCTGAATCCGAATATGGTAATGGTTTTTGCTGATAGGCCTTGGTAGACTGAGTTTTCTAGAAAATCAATTTTCCAAAAATTCCAGAGAATGACTAAAAGCTTTCTTAATGAGGCGCAATTGTAGCCCAGAAATTTCTGATTAAAATGAGACATCTCCCAGCTCTACATGACCTTTCTTTGCAAAGTTATAGACTTTACAAGAAAAGCCCTAAATTCATTTTTCCTTTTTCTTTCTGTAGCTCTGAGGTGACAATGAACATTTAGGGCTTTTCTTGTAAAGTCTATAACTTTGCAAAGAAAGGTCATGTAGAGCTGGGAGATGTCTCATTTTAATCGAAATTTCCGGGCTACAATTGCGTCTCATTAAGAAAGCTTTTAGCTATTCTGCAGAGTTTCTGGAAAACTGTTTTTCCAGAAAACTCAGTCTACCAAGGTCTAGCAGCAAAAAACCATTGTCATATTCGGATTCACCACATCCGATTAACTATTGTCCAGTGAGTCTTAGCCTAAAAGCGATTAGACAGTTGGTGTCCTTTCCTCGTAAGCTTTTCTTGAAAAGATAGGAATTCTAAAGAGTGCTGCTTAAGAAGTGCAAACATAATATCTACTATGGCGTTTACTTCTAAAGGGTCACTTTTCGTTTGTTCAATGTTCTCTCTGGCTATTTTTATGTTATCAATACATTCCTTTACTTTATTTT